GTAATTTCCTATATAAGATATTACGAAGTCTATTGTGTACTCCTCCAACTTGCTTTAATTTGTCCAATTTTCTTTCAAAATCACCACTACCACTGTTATTAATGACAAACATACACCCACACACATGTACGCACGCACACATTCTCCCATGAATATCCTCTATATTTGCCATCGTTTCCTTTCCAAATAGATAGACATTACATGAAGCGAAGCGTAGGGAATTTGTACGCCATCCTTTTGATTCCAATGTGATACCCCCACACACACACACGCAAACACATTCACTCACATACACATACAATGTATATCGACCATAACGAGCCAAACTCGCTTGAAAAGCGGCCTCAGCGAACAAACACAAAAAAATGTCGTTAGTTTTGGATGGTTTCAATGGAATTCGGTGTGTGCGCTCGTTCGTTCGCCCGTTCCCGGCGTACAATTTGAGGGAAAAAAATTCAACTGCAATCAGCAAATTTGATTTATGCATTTAGGGTTCCATATGTAAACATACATTCCATCAGCCGACCAACTCCATAACCCAACTGGGCAAATAGCAATCTTCCCGTTGTTGCTGTTGATGATGATGGCGATGATGCTACTGCTCCTGCCGCTTCTTGTTCTACAGCTTTGCCAAAATTCACAGCCATTTGTTAAAGGTATTTATTTTTGTACCATTTCACAGACATTCACAGCTACAACAATGAGCGTGGGGGAGGAGAGCGCGGTGGGAGGCATGATGCCGGTATTATCCCCCCAAAACCGATTGGTAGGCCCTTTTAACTATCTAGGCTTTCATCCAGCATTCTTTGTATGGATGTGCGGAACGTTTTATTCAGCTTTTTTCGTTCGTTCATGTCGTCTTGTTAAATAGCATTCGGTGGTTCAATTGTATGCCTCACCTACTACCACCACCACCACCATTACCAACATCACCCTATCCCACCACAGTCAAAAGCCATTGATTCATGTTAGCGAAAAATTAAGCTAATGATTGCATGTGCTGCTGTTCTCTGTTCATTTTTGAATGTTTTTGAGAAAAAGCAATGCAGAGAATGAATGAAAAGGTGCGCTTTAAAAAAGACAGCCAGGCAGGCATTCAGGGAAACGACATCATTCACATTCAAATATTCCTTTTTTCGTTCCGGGGGAATATTACTCCGGCGCTAGGGAGTAGACAAAACCGCATAGAATACGGAAATACAATACGTTTATTTGGGCATACAATTAGAACAAGGTAAAATCCAACTAGCCAAGATTAAATTAGAGTTGGAAACATGGACAAATAAAGGAGTGGAAAATGTTTGTAAGGAAAATGCAGAAAATGAATTTATCTGCAATATTTTGGAAATTTTGTAATTTGAGATAAAAAATAATACAGGTGTTTTGAATCAAGTTAAAAAAAATGCGGAGAAGATTTCGAACTTTTTATATAGGAGACTCTGAATTCTTAACATTGTATGTATATTAGAAATCCAGAGATTATATGTTGTCCATATCCTTAAACCACCTTGAGGTGATCTTCTGTACATAGCAGACCTACATAGAACCCCCTATTGTCAAAAATACCTTGAAGGTTTCTATAGCCACTATAACATTTTGAAGTTTTATATTGTGCATAGAAGGGGTGGAAGTCGATCTTCTATTGTCCATAAAATAATTTAAAGTCTTATATTTTCCACAGAAGAGCTTGAGGTCATCTCCTCGCAATAGAAGAGCTGAAGGTCTTCTATTGTCCGTAGAGAACCTAAAGGTCTTCTATTGTCCGCAGAACCCCTTGAGGTCTACTATTGTTCATAGAAGAGTTGGAGGTCTTCTACTGGCTATAGAAGGGATGAAGGTCTTCTATCGGCCATAGAAGAGCTGGAGGTCTTCTATCGGCCATAGAAGAGCTGGAGGTCTTCTATCGGCCATAGAAGAGCTGGAGGTCTTCTATCGGCCATAGAAGAGCTGGAGGTCTTCTATCGGCCATAGAAGAGCTGGAGGTCTTCTATGAGCCCTAGAAGAGCTAGAGGTCTTCTATCGGCCATAGAAGAGCTGGAGGTCTTCTATGAGCCCTAGAAGAGCTAGAGGTCTTCTATCGGCCATAGAAGAGCTAGAGGTCTTCTATCGGCCATAGAAGAGCTAGAGGTCTTCTATCGGCCATAGAAGAGCTAGAGGTCTTCTATCGGCCATAGAAGAGCTAGAGGTCTTCTATCGGCCATAGAAGAGCTAGAGGTCTTCTATCGGCTGTAGAAGAGCTGTAGGTCTTCTATCGGCTGTAGAAGAGCTGTAGGTCTCCTATCGGCTGTAGAAGAGCTGTAGGTCTTCTATCGGCTGTAGAAGAGCTGTAGGTCTTCTATCGGCTGTAGAAGAGCTGTAGGTCTTCTATCGGCTGTAGAAGAGCTGTAGGTCTTCTATCGGCTGTAGAAGAGCTGTAGGTCTTCTATCGGCTGTAGAAGAGCTGTAGGTCTTCTATCGGCTGTAGAAGAGCTGTAGGTCTTCTATCGGCTGTAGAAGAGCTGTAGGTCTTCTATCGGCTGTAGAAGGGCTGTAGGTCTTCTATCGGCTGTAGAAGGGCTGTAGGTCTTCTATCTGCTGTAGAAGAGCTGTAGGTCTTCTATGGGCCCTAGAAGAGCTGAAGGTCTTCTATGGGCCCTAGAAGAGCTGAAGGTCTTCTATGGGCCCTAGAAGAGCTGAAGGTCTTCTATCGGCTGTAGAAGAGCTGTAGGTCTTCTATGGGCCCTAGAAAAGCTGAAGGTCTTCTATGGGCCCTAGAAGAGCTGTAGGTCTTTTATCGGCTGTAGAAGAGCTGTAGGTCTTCTATCGCTCACAGAAGAGCCGTAGATCTTCTATCGCTCACAGAAGAGCCGTAGATCTTCTATCACCCATAGAAGAGCTGGCGGTCTCTTCTATCGCCCATTAAAAAGGTGGAGGTTTTATCTTCAGACCGAGAAGAATTGGATGTCTTATTTCCAGAGATCTAAAAAAATAAAAAATAGTTTGAGGTCTTACTTTCAAACCTAGAGAAGTAGGAATTCTTATTTCTAGACCTAGAAGATTTGAAGGTCTTATCTCCAGATCTAGAAGAGTTGGATGCCTTATCTCCAGACCTAAATAGTTGGAGGTCTTATCTCCAGACCGAGAGGAGTTGGAAGTCTTATCTCCAGACCTAAAAGAGTTGGAGGTCTTATCTCTAGACCTAGAATATTTGGATGTCTTATCTCCAGACCTATTGGTTAATAATATTGGTTTCCCACAAAGTATATGTGAATCTTCCTATCTCACCGAGCTGAGTCGATCTAGCTATGTATGTCCATGTAAATTTGTAATCACTCTACAGGTCGCAATTATGGCCCGATCTTCACGAAATTTAGAATGTAGCTGGGGTTAAGGTCAGAATAGAACCCTATTTCTTTTGGAGATGATCGCATAATATTTAGGGGTTGAAATGGACAAAAAACTGAAATTTCCTGATTTTGCAGTTGCTCTACAGGTCACAATTATAGACCAATCGAAGCGAAGTTTAGCATGGGGCTAGAGCTTTGGACTGGGCAGAAGCCTTCCAATTTTGATGGTCATCGGGTAATATTTAGTGGTTTAGTAGACCATAGCATTTGCGATAAATAAAAGTAAATTTTTCCATTAATCCGCGAATATTTTTACTGCCGGCGAAATCACAAATAGACGAACAGGTCAATTCTGACCGTTACGTAGATGCCGATAGTAAAAATATCGGATATATATAGAGAAATATATACAATGTATATATACAAAGGAAGGGGATGTCAGCTAGAATGCTTATATCTTCACAATGGCTGGAGCGATTTTGACAAATTTTGTCAATTACCCTTGTGGCATTAAAGTATAAATACTACAAAATCGCATAAAAAGATACCAATAATGATGTTCATATAGATTTTGTAGTATTTTGAGACATTTTCTTTATTTTTTTCATATTTTTTTTTTTCGCATGCGATTTTTTCAAGTTGACTTCTAATACAACACAGGTTAGGGTTATTATTTATATACAGATTGCAATTATCGTTCGATCCTCACGAAATTTTTCACAAGGGCTAGGCTCAGAAGGGCAAGGCCTATTGTTTTCAAAGATGTCCGCAATATATTCATATATATATGAACCAAAAACAGAAAAAAAAAAATTCCTGATCACACAATTGAAGCCAATCGACACGCCTGAGAAAATAGGTAAGCACAGGGAAGAATTCTGGCATTTTGGGTGACCATTGGAATATATTTAGCCGTAAAATGGAACACAAAAACTAACAGCACGACGGAGTGCATAAATATTGGGAAAATGTCCCTTGTCAAAATGCTAAGGGTAATATCTGGGCAGTGCTCCGTCACATAATTTCAAAAGCGAAATCTTCCAAAATGGATTTGGACATGAGGGGGCTTCTAACATATTGTAGTGTTGTAGGGTATCACATGGTCGGCCCCTAACGACTTTAGCCTAATGTATTATTTATATTATTAAAAAACTTAACAAAAATCTATAAAATAAATAACGATTCATCTCAATAAAAAATATAAAATTCAGTTAGTAATAAAAAAATTAAATTGCGTAAAAATAAACAATGAAAAATAAATTTGTACCCAATATGGAAAAAATCCGCCCAAAATCCGCCCAAACCACAAAATTTATCTTTTTTCCGCCCAAATTTGGACGGAAACGCCCAAAACGGCAACACTGCTCCAGACCCAAAAGAGTTGAAGGTCTTACGTCTAGACCTAAAGTAGTTTGAGGTCTTATCTCCAGACCTAGAAGAATATGAGCCTCTAAAGTGAGGCTCTTAAGTATCTAAGTATCGAAAATTTATTAAATCGAGTACATAACACATTCAATATTATGACTTTTTTTTAAGATTTTTTTCACATTCTCTAGTTTTCGTTTTCAAAAGATTCTGGGTAATTATTTGCCCATCTCCTTTAAAATTGTGTAGTAATTTTTCATTTTATAATAAAAAGTTGATTATACTAATTTTTTTTCCAAAGAATCCTACCTTTGCAAAGTCATGATTTTTCAATGCCTCGGCTGCATCTTGGGTTCGTTTAATTTCCGTAATAACATGACGTGCACGTTTCACCAGAACTTCCTCACATTTGGTTTTCTTCAAATCTGTAATTAAATTAAAAAGTGCAATATGTCAAAATTTATTCACTTTATGTTGTTATTTTATTTTTAATAATACGCATATGCTAGTTCATATGAAAACGTCTTACACATATACATATATCAACGTTGACATACTACAGTGGAACCTCTACTACATATACGTTGTCCTGTCTAAAATTTCACTTCATTTGGAAATGAACAATTCTTTGCCGAAAGAATAAATAATTTTATTCTACGCATGGAAAGTATTTTTTCAAGGTATTTTCCTTTGTTGCAGTTTTCACTGTCTAATAAAATCAACAACACCAACAAAGGACCTTCATTTGCGTACGAACTCTTTGTTTTGTTTCACTTTCTTTTCCAAAAAGGAAACAAACTTGCCGTTTTATTATTCCTCCATGCCTTCCTTTTCGTCTAATGAGCACCTAAATCTAACTTCCGTCTAACTGTAAATTCTTCATTTGCATACACGATCTTCGTTCATGGTTGGGTGAATTGCAAGAAAGAAAAAAGAAAAGCCAAATAGAAAACTAAGGAAGGTAGAAAGTAATGACAGAGCGTGCATGTGGTCTTGGTTATGTTGCATCGACACTCCTTGTGTGGGTGTGTGAGCGAGTGTGTGTGTGCTTGCGTTTACCTTCAATGTTTATTCCTTTTTCTTTTACCGTTGCCGTTGCTTCAAGATACGCATTAATTATTTTCAGAATACAAAAAGAGAGCAAAGCCAACACGAACATCATGTGTGTGTGTGTGCACATGTATGTGTGTGTTCACATGCTCCACTTAGACCTCAACACAGCCCCAGACATTCTCAGCTTCAACTTTTCAAAACCAAATAATTGCTATTTTACACGAAAGATGTCTGCCCGACACCATGGTGTTGACAATGTCGGTGTTGCTTTTGTTGAGAGTCCTTTCCAGCGCCATAGGGCTTGTGCTCCGCTCCGCTCAAGTGCATTACGAGTATTTAATAACAAACTGCCACTGTATTTATTCACACCTAATGATTTCCTCTGTTCTTAGGAAAGCAACTAAGTTGGTGTTATTGTTGTAAAATTGCATGGGGAATTACAAAAATAAAAGGTCGGTCGGCTTTTAAGCGTAGACATTTAATATTTAATTTTACACACACATGTGAAACGTTTAATTGAAAATAAGTTTTGGTAAGGAAAATAAAAAAATATTTTATATCTTTGGGAAATATTTTTCATATCCAAATGTCGATATTTTTATAAAATATTTATCAAGGTAGATTTGTTGACAACGACCTTCTTCTTAGGAAGAATGATCTCGGACCAATCATTAATTTTTAAGGATCCTTCGTGGGTATTTTGTAAGAAAACAAGTTAAAAATGTGGTTTTCATAAATATTTTTTCAAGGACCAAACGAAGATATGTTGAGAAGATTTTTTAAGGATCAGGTGTGGATTTTTGGAAACTTGTTTCTAGGATCAAACTATTATTTTTGAGAAGAATTATTTATAACATCTAAGATGTTTTGAAAGAACAATTTTAAGGATCAAACGTGAATTTCGTTCTTAAAAAAACCAAACGTGGATTTTCTATGTTTATCAAGGACCAAACGTGGATTTTCTAAATTTATCAAGGACCAAACGTTGATTTTCTAAGAACATTTTTTCAAGGACCAAACGTGGATTTTCTAAGAATAGTTTGTCAAGGACCGACCGTGGATTTTCTAAAAAAGTTTATAAAGGACAAAACGTGGATTTTCTAAGAATAGTTTGTCAAGGACCGACCGTGGATTTTCTAAAAAAGTTTATAAAGGACAAAACGTGGATTTTCTAAGAAAACGTTTATCAAGGACCAAACGTGGATTAAAAAAAAATATTTTTTGAAGGACCAAACGTGGATTTAAAAAAAATATTTTTTGAAGGACCAAACGTGGATTTAAAAAAAATATTTTTTGAAGGACCAAACGTGGATTTTCTAAAATTATTTTTTGAAGGACCAAACGTGGATTTTCTAAAAATATTTTTTGAAGGACCAAACGTGGATTTTCTAAAAATATTTTTTGAAGGACCAAACGTGGATTTTCTAAAATTATTTTTTGAAGGACCAAACGTGGATTTTCTAAGAATATTTTATCAAGGACCAAACGTGAGTTCTATGATTATTTTATCAAGGACCAAACGTGAATTCTATGATTATTTTATGAAGGACAAAATGCGAGTTTTCTCACAATACTTTATGAAGGACAAAATGTGAGTATTCTCACAATACTTTATGAAGGGCCAACGTGGATTTTCTAAGATTCTAAGGATCAAACATGGATGTCCTAAGGATATTTTATAAAAGACAAACGTGGATTTTTCTAAGGATATTTTATCAAGGATAAAATGTGGATTTTTCTAAAAATATTTTTTTCAAGGACAAAATGTGGATTTCCTGAAATAAAGAATATTTTTTTAAGGACCTAACATGTATTCCCTAAAATACAGAATATTTGATCAGAATCAAATGTTGATTTTCTAAAATATAAAATATTTTATTAAGTGCAAAACGTGGATTTCGAAAAAATAGAATATGTTATCAAGGACCAAACCTGGATTTTCTAAAATATAAAATATTTTATCAAGGACATAAAACCGGATATTGATCCTTCAAACTTTTTTCTTAAAAAATCTGTAGTAGATCCTTGAACTAAATTTTGTTTCTTTGGAAGAATTCTGTCTTGAAAAATCCACGTCTGTTGGTCTTTGAAAGAATTCCGTCTTGAAAAATCCACGTCTGTTGGTCTTTGGAAGAATTCCGTCTTGAAAAATCTACGTCTATTGGTCTTTGAAAGAATTCCGTCTTGAAAAATCCACGTCTTTTGGTCTTTGGAAGAATTCCGTCTTTATCCTCGAAAAAAAAAAAAAATCTCTTCAAAAATCCACGTTTTGTCTTCGAAAAAATCTTTTTAAAAATCCACAATTTGTCCTCGAAAAAATCGTTTCAACAATCCACGCACTTAATTATTCATTTGTTTAAGTCAAGTCTAATTCTTAAATGAATTGCCTAAACATGTTATAACTATAATGTTTTAAATATTTTTCCTCTCATAATTACACTTTTATTAATAATTTCCCATTCAGCGAACTGAAAAGTTCATTAGCCTTAGCAATTGATGCAGCAACAACAGCCGAAAAAAAAATCCTCAAAATCCTTAGATTAGATCAGTGAAAATTACCAAGCTCAAAACACACATTTCTTTGACAATCAACAGCCAAAAAATTGTTGTTGATGCAAAAACAATAGCAAACAAAGCATAAAATGTCACATTCAATTCAACCGGACGGTTGGTCGGTCGGTCGATCTATTCACAGACAGGAAAACATTTATCTCCACCCCATTTAGTTTTGGAGCAGAGTTCATTCACATCTTAAATTGTTTTGGCATTAGTCCAATAAATGCTGGTAATAAATCCATATTCCTACATGGAAAAGCGAGAAAGGGAAGGAAGAAAAAAGACTGAAAAATAAATCCATCCATTTAAGCATTGGCTGCACAATCAAACCAAACATCGTTACCAGGACTATTTCAATTATGAAGAGATAACAAACGGTTTCGTTTGTTCAAACAGACATTTTGGTTATTGAATTGGGTTTGGCGTTGGTGGAAAAAGGAGGGTTTAATATTTTCTATCCATTTTTAGTTAATAGAAGATTTTTGTAGGTATATCTATATGGGTTTTGTTTGAAACGATTTATTCGTGTTGTGGCTGTTTTTTTTTTTTTTTTGCTTTTGGTCTAAACTCCACAAATGCCTGCTAGCGAAATGTGGCATTCAATTCTCCTAAATGTTGCAAAACGAAGACACTCTTAATTTCGCTGGTTTGATGCGAATGCCATTATGTGACTTGATTATGTAGATATTTACCAACTTCATATTATTAATATTTCCGAAATTGATGTCGAAGGTAGGACAACAATGTGTTGTATCGACCGGCCCATTCTTAACTGGGCACCATACAATTTTAGATTCGTTCCAGCAGTTCATGTTAGAACTCTTTGGTACTCAAAGTTCACAATTTGAAGAGTTTGTTATTTTTTAACCAAAACTTCATATATCATTCTAAGTTTTTAGACTTTCAAGGATTGATATATTATTCAAGTTTTTCCTTTTTCGCATAGAATAATAAAGAAAATATTTTCCTTCTACCCTAAAAAGTCTTCAAAATCTTTCACTTTACCAGTACAATACAAATTTGTGAGTTTTTAGGCACTATTTTACGTCCCTATGATTTTTATACCCTCCTCGATACACAGCATGGAGGGTATACTAATTTCGTCATTTCTTTTGTAACTCATCAAAATAGTAATTTTAGATCCAGCAAAGTATATATATTCTTGATCAGCGTAAAATTCTAAGACGATTTAGCCCTAACTGTCCGTCTGTTGTAATTACGCTACAATCAAAACGAATTAAGATAGGAAGTTAAAATTTAGCTCAAATCTATATTTTGTCTGTATTGTCTATATCGGTCTACGATATTGTATAGCCTCCATAGAACGGTACCTCCCGATATTCGATATTTTGTTGTTTTTAATCACATTTTTCAATCGAATTGTCTGAAAGTCCACACAAGGAATTCCTTGTGAGTACTTTATCCCCTAAAAGAGAATTATATACATAGGTCCACGATATCATATATCCCCTATATGAGGGCAACTCCCGAAATTCGGTATTTTGATGTTTTTAGCCACATTTTTCAAAGGAATTGACTTAAAATCCACACAACTTTATCCCCTGCAAGAGAATTTATGCATAGGTCCCATATGAAGGTAGCCCCCCCCCCCCCCCTTAACTTATTTAAGAACATTTTTTTATGAACCGTCGGGGCTGGATCTTTCGCAAAAAATAATATATGATCGCAATCTAAAAAAATAGGATCCTTGGATCCATGAATTTTAAAAAATATATAGTTATTTTCTTATAATTATTTCTTATAATTATAACCACACATTTCCACAACCACCTCAATGTCTCAATTCCAGATACCT